CCAGTTCATGGCTGCCCCTCAAAAAAGGGCCGCTCAGGCGTCGCACGCTGGGGTAGTGTGCCAGCTTCCTTGTCATTTGGTTCGCCTACCATACCCTTTTCGCACAATATCAATCGAATAACTAGCCCTGCACTGGACGATATTCTATTTTATTGTGCGAATACGCAAAAACTTTATTACTAGCTAATTTTCATGATCAGAAAGTCTTCTGCCCGCCTCTTTTCCATAAATTTCCAAAGCGGTCAATGATCACACTGTGGCCTACCACCCGACGCCGAAACTCAACCAGTTTGTCCCCTCCTTTCTCCTGCAAAAACAATTCTACGGTTTTAGGAAGGTAACTGGTAGCCAGTCGCGACTGAAGTCGTGGACAGAGAGTGGCCACCCTTCCACTACGACATTACACAGGAGGGCAACCTAGTCTGTGTTGGAAAAGTACGCCCGGTAGGTATCAGTCCTCTTCAGCTCTGACTCCGCTCTACCTAAATACTGCCTCGGCTCTCTTCCGCCTTTACGCACGGAAATGTTATTGTGGCTATGGCGAAGGGTTAAGTGAAAGTGGCACCTGACCTCCGTCATAATCATAAAAACTGACGATCTCTTGAATTCCCGATCTCATCCTTCTAGATCGACAAGCTGCCCAAACGAGAGCGTCGAGTGGTCGGTAACAGTGCAAGCCTCTGATCCCTTGGCCGCTTTGTTATTCATATATTCACAAAAAGCGTTTGGACGGGGAAGTTTTTTATAGAACTGGTTGGGAGGCACGTTCCGTTGCAGAGAGTCTAACAATAAGACATTTAAAGGCAAACTCCGGGATTCGAACTGGTGCTATCAGCGCTTTGTAGTGATAGCTTAGCTGCGGAACGACCTGAAAGTGGAAAGGAAAGCAAGAGAAATCTTGGGAACGCTGAAATTAAGGCCTTAACCTTTCAAGGTCGGATGTGGTACGATGGCGAGACAGGGCGGTCAAAGAAGACAAAACACGCGAGAGAGCACGCTGATCTCTACATCTCTCGCGGTGGGTGGGAAGCGTTGCAACGGGGGTCGATGGTTGCAGGCCCGTAAGGATTAGCGCCCTAACCGCGCAATTTTTGCGACGAAGCTGGAGTGATCTAGGTAGGTACGGACCTTACAATTTCCCTCGTGGTATCCCTCCTACTAGTCGGGCTAATCTCGGGGTTTGCCTTTAAAACCATAACAAATGCCATCTTTAATTGTTACCATCAAAGGAATGTAATACTCAGTTAGTTTCCTTTGAAAATGTTTAGCTTTCAGGAACAGTTGGATGAGTACAACGACAGCATGGTACGACTGAAACAAGAGCTGAGGCGTAATTTCACCAGTCTAGTTTCGGATCTTCCACGGACTCTTGTAGATTTTTTCAATATAACGGAAAAAGAGGACCAAACGCAAGCGGAGAAAAAAGCAGCGTTGGGAGAACTGAAAAAACGGAACCCGAAGGTAAGAGATGAGGAGTTGAGTGTGTAAAAATACTATTACGCGATTGAG